AGTCCCCCTCCTCTTCCTCCTCCTCCTCCTCTTCCTCCTCCTCCTCATCCTTTAACCTGATTTCCACTGTTGTTTTTTTTCAGTGATCTGATTGGCTGGTGATTTAGACATGTTTATGGTTTTAATCAGCACTGACGTACACTGTGAACATTTACAGAAAATACAAAACCTGCTAAAACATCCTAACTGCTGGTGACTGAACTGGATTCAGAAAAAAACATTTCTTTTTTCGTGGAACTGCCACAGCTGAGGGTGAAAGGGTCAAAATGCAAACACAGCACAAAGATTCAGTCTGTTACTGTCAACGTGTGTGTGTGTGTGTGAGAGAGAGAGAGAGAGAGAGAAACACTCGAGCTGCTCAACAGGAAGGAAGCATGACAACAGGAAGAGTTTAACAATCACACCCCCTGACTGTGTGTGTGTGTGTGTGTGTGTTTCCCCAGGCTCCTCCTACACTCTCGCCTCAGGCTCTGTCTCTCACTGTATATCTGTCTCTTAGACTCACACACAAGTACACACAAGTACACACACACACACACTGTCTCATATTAGCATATCTGCCAGACAGGCACAGGGAGAACGTGGAGTGGAGGATGTGAGAGGGTGGGAGTCACAGCCAGCTCACACTGGGCAAGCCTGTGGTCGCCATGGAAACAGAACCATGTGACCCAGAGACGGTCAGCAGGACGATAGATGCTGTTGACCTTCTTCATCTACACAATACATGCATTTACCCAGCAAGAAGTCAAAGAAGGTCTGGGTTCGAATCCCGGTGAAGATAAATGGTACCTTTAATGACATTTACTGTTAGACGAGTACCGCTAACTTATCAACAATGCTAACTAAAAGATCGGCATCGGTTCACATCCTGTGTTTCCTACTGTGTTTAGCTGAGTTACGTTTACCAGGTTATATAAGTTACTCATTAATATTTTTGGGTACACCTTTATCAGGAGTGGTAGAGAAGTATGTGAGTGTGGTGCATGAGCGAAGAGTGGTGGGGTTTACAGGTGGAATAACTTTTTTTGAAACATTTTGTGAACTCGTATCAATCTTCTTCTATTGTTCATCCCCCCCCACCCCACGACCCCCCTGGACTCTGCCGCCACCGCCCCCCCACCTGGTCCTCAGCCCGATGTTACATCTCTGTACGTTATTGTTGAAATAGTTATGTTCAGGTTTTTAAACTCAGCTTCCTTCTTCACTCTCCTCTGTGTTCAGGTTTTCACCACCTACTCTAACGAAGACTACGATCGACGTAATGACGACGTGGACCCGATGGCTGCCTCGGCCGAGTACGAGCTGGAGAAGAGGGTGGAGAAGCTGGACCTGTTTCCTGTGGAGCTGGAAAAAGGTACGGTCACATGACCGAGCTGATGATTATTAAAATAGATTGATAAAATGAGCTGCAATGCTGCCCTCTAGTGGCTTTCACATTTAGCCATTTATCCCCAAAACTATTTTTAAGGCACGTCATATGGAAACACAGACGTTATCGGGTTTTCATTATCGTAGGAAAAACTGATGATGATTCTTACACGGTGGAGGATTTGAACTAGCAACCCCAGTGTTTCTAAACTATGAATATGGAATGTAATCAATATAAAAGATTGAAATGCTGTGTGTGTGTGTGTGTGTCACAGACAGTGATGGTCTGGGCATCAGTATCATAGGCATGGGTGCAGGAGCTGACATGGGTCTGGAGAAGCTTGGCATCTTTGTGAAGACAGTGACAGAAGGTGGCGCTGCGCAGAGAGACGGCAGGTACGGTTCATCACTGGTACTTCAGCTGCAGACGCGGTGTCGTCCCCGGAGTCAGGGTCTCAGACTCTGACATCGATGTTCAATTCTTAAAATAGATGTAAAGTTGGATTAGACGTTTACCTTTCTCCTCACGGTCATGTGTTCTGGTGCTGCAGGATCCAGGTGAACGACCTGATAGTGGAGGTGGACGGAACCAGTCTGGTCGGTGTCACTCAGAGCTTCGCTGCCTCCGTCCTCCGTAACACCACAGGAACAGTCAGGTCTGCGCTGTGATTGGACTGAACGGTTCTGTTGTTATATAATAGGACCACCAGATACAGTCAGCCGTGTGCCCTAACCCCCCCTCCTCCCCTCGCCCCCCCATTCCCATCTTCCAGGTTTGTGATTGGTCGGGAGAAGCCTGGGGAGCAGAGTGAAGTGGCTCAGCTGATTCAACAGACTCTGGAGCAGGAGAGGTGGCAGAGGGAGATGATGGAGCAGAGGTACAAACAGTACATGGACGATGACGAAGAGGTGTGTACTTCAAAGTACAAGTAAATACACGTAAATACATACTAGTAAGTACTAACGCTGTGTGACGGTGGAGGTCAGCGACCAACTACATACTAGTAAGTACTAACGCTGTGTAATGGCGGAGGTCAGCGGCCAACGTTCTCACTGCAGGAAATCAAAAAAGGAGCGATAGACAAGAACCAGATGAACTGATACACTGTGTGTGTGTGTGTGTGTGTGTGTGTGTGTGTGTGTGTGAAGGCATAACAAAATGTCGCCTTTATGCCACCACGTGGCCAATTGCTTCATTTCTAGCCCCAGTCCTGCTGCCCCATCTTGTGGTCATTGTGTGTAGTGGTCTGTATGAAACACTTGCCTTTTGTTTGGTGGATGCAGTAGAGACCAGTGGTGTCAAAGTGTTTACTTCATAAAAGTACTACAACTATAAAATACAGCAGCAGAGACTGGTACTGTTTGTCACAAACGGTATATGTATATGAAAAAGTTCCACACACTCACATTTATCACTTCAACTGAACACTTCTTAAAGGGTCCTGCACCACACTCATGTACTTTAATGCCACTCCTGAATTTAATATTATAGATTCGTTATATTCACAAAGAAACAAGCCACTCCTGAATTTAATATTATAGATTTGTTATATTCACAAAGAAACGATACTTTAATATTTATTATTATTATTTGACACCAAGTTAAAAACTGGAAACTTTGTATCTGACAAAAACAGATTTTAAGATTCCACTGGTCCGACCTCCAGCAGATGAACAAAGGTTCATCATCAACGTCAACAACATCCTGTGTCTAACTGACCACCACTTCACTAAAATCTTTAACTCAACTCTAAATGTCAAGCCTGTAATGAAAAGCCAGTGCGGTGCAGGGGCTGGAACCGATTGTTTGTCTCAGACAGACGGAGGATATTGATGCAGACAGATATGAGCGGCCGACGGTGAAGCTCAATAAAACACCTCAGTTAATGTGTTTCTGTCTGGACACGGACCAGGACGTGATGCAGCTGAAAATGATTTTCAGATGTTTTTTTTTTTATGGCTTTAATCCAGTGACACGTGTTCACAGGTCAGAGGTCGCGTCTGTACTGGAGGTCAAATGTTTAAAATGTAAATCAGATCCATATCAGCACTGAATCTATCCTATAATATTTCTGTAACTTAAAAAAGACGGTTTTCTTTGTTTTGTCTAATTTATATCAGTTTTTATTTTATTTTTTGTAAATGATGAGCTATGATGGTGAGTGTTCAAAAAACTATTAACTTTTCATTTCACTTGTGTATATAAATATATATATTTTTCTTTTCTGCGTGCAGACAGGTGAATACGCCACAGACGAGGACGAGGAGATGAGTCCCGTGTTTCCAAACTCCATCGAGGTTTTCGACCTGGCAGAGAACCAGGACATGTTGTCTCCTGTGGAGCTGGACCCCGAGAAACTGGCCCATAAATTTAAGGAGGTGCAAAGAACGTTTTAGGTTTACTGTAGAGCCGAGCGGTGTCTTTGACATGAGTTGCGTTCAGGTGTACGGCGTCTGATGTTCCTGCTCAGCCTTCTCTCCTCGTCTTCTGTCTGCAGCTCCAGATCAAACATGCCGTGACGCAGGCCGAGGTCCAGCTGCTGAAGAGGAAGGTGAGACTTCTGTCTGGACCGGCTGAAACCAAACACACATTTTAGAGTCTCACCAACACCACACTGACCGCCCACTCTCCCCCCCCCCCCCCCCCCCCCCCCCCCCTCTCCCTCTCCATCTCTCCCACGCTGCTCCCACCTCCAGCTGGCCCACGCGGAGCAGGACAAGTTGCGGTGGCGAATGGAGCGCGCTCAGTTGGAGCAGAACATCCGGGACAGTAAGGAGAGGATGGAGAAACTGGAGGGTTACTGGATGGAGGCGCAGTCGCTCTGTAAGGTAACGAGTCGGAGAGGACGCCGGACTGACAACGACCGGGAGGTGAACGCTCTGATGAGGACCACTGGTCACTGACTCTCTCTGTGTGTGTGTGTGTTCACAGGCAGTGGATGAACACCTAAAGGAAACCCAGGCTCAGTACCAAACCCTGGAGAGGAAATACAGCAAGGCCAAAAGACTGATTAAAGAATATCAGCAGAAGTAAGAACTGAAGAACAGATCAGAGGTGAGAAACGAGAACGGAACTCAAATATTACATCATCTGTGTGTGTGTGTGTGTGTGTGTGCAGGGAGATAGAGTACCTGAAAAAGGAGACCGCTCAACGTCGAGCGCAGGAAGAAAGTGAAACAACACACAAAGAAGAAGCAGAAAACCTGCAGGACAAGGTCAGTTTGTTTCACCACCAGTTTGACCAGAGTTCAAACACAGCAGTAAAGTCTGTGCAGTTCAAACCAGTGTTCCTGTGACCGTCTTCTGTCTGTAGATTATAGACCTGGAGACCAAAGTGGACGCCCTGAAAACTCCCAAACCATCCTAGTGTGCTGCTACACCTCACTTCCTGTCTGCGGCTGGAAGGAGCGCTCCATCTTTGCCTTCATCCTGACAGGGTTGTATTTTCATTTAGTCCACAGAGAAATGACAGATGAATTATATTGACGAGGAGACAAACATGAAAACGGGGAAGAAGCCACTTTTCATCCAACACCTGAGCTCCGCTCCTCTCTGTACCAATATCTCAACGCAGCGGCCGTTCAATAACACCCAGAAATCCTCTTTGGTGTCTTCCTGGCGATCACCGTGGATGATTTGTGCTTCACTTCTCATCACAACTGGATTCTATTCTTAACTAAAACTTATTTTTTAAAATAGCTCTTTTATTGAAAAAGGCTTGTCACAAAGTGCTTTATGTGGCAGAATAAATGCAAGAAAAAAAAAAACAAAAAAACAAAACACAAAAAAACAAGACAAAAACCTAGAAAAACAGGAAGGTGATTGGTCGTGATAAAGTAAGTAGGTGGTTCCTGAGCCGTGGTCTGTCATCGCTGGAACTGGAGTCTGTGGTGAAAAGGACACAGACGCTGATTGTCTGTCACATGATTGCCCCCCCCACACCCCCATCCCCCACCTGAAAGGAAAAGTGCCCACCTGACTTTTAAAGACTTTTAAAAGAGAAACCTCAGTAGTATTAACAAACCCTGGTTGAAAAAAAAAATCAAAAACTTTGAAAAGGAAATAGCCAACAACCGTGTGTAACTGTAGGAACGACTGACGTCTGCACGGTGACACAAACTGGGAAATAAACGGCGGCGCCGCTCAGCCTTTGTTTTTTCCTCTTTTTCAGTACAAACTCTCTGCAGGTGGTGGAGTGAAACACGTCCGACAGGAACTCGTGTCAGTTCTGAATGTGTGGCATATTGTTTGTATATATTCGATACATGTATTTAAAGGTGTTTTTTTTAATGGACCAGGTAATTAAATGCAGTGTTTCAGATAGAGCAGTGAACCAATGTCCTGCAGGTGGCAGTAGAAGGTTCAGGTGTTCAGGTTCTGTCTCTTTCATCTGGAGAAGACAGGGTGTGAATATTCACATTGATACTTTTTTAGAGCTTCAGATTGTGTATATTTCTTCGTGTTTACTGCTGTAAGTTTACACACAGCACGTGACCACAGCCCGTTTCCTTGACTGTCAGGTGCGTTGTTTTTTAGTTTGCGCTGGGAGAAGTCACTTCCTGTTCCTTCACGTGAACAAGCTGAAAATCCGTGGGTGTTACGTGCACACACTGGACTCCAAGTTAAGACTGTAGTCCATCCAAAAGTGTTCCGCTAAATTATACATTAATACATAATCTAAATATTAGCCAGACCTGAGAACATCAACCTGATTTTATTTGACTTTCACCGTGACTAGATTAAACTAGACTAGATGATGTCAAAACGGAACATTATAAAATATTGTATTTAAATAAAACTACAAAGTCCGACATTTTCTTAAATGTAACGTCGCCATCCCAGTGTATGCTCTGCTGCAACCTTAACATTAACATCATGACTGACTGAATGAATGAGCTCATAAACCCTTGATAGAAGTACGTTTTTTTACAACCCAGATTTGGCCTGTGTTTATATAGGGAACCAGTGGAGCCGCCCCATGGTGGTTCAACGGTACTTCCGTTCTGCATTGTGAGAAGGTAATACCAGATTATATGTATTTTTGTTGTTGTGTACAGTCAGGAACCACATACATACATATATATCTGTTATTATTTACTACAATATCATGATAAAACACTGCACTGGCCTGATGTTCCTGCCCGACAGTCCAGACGAACGCTGTGCATGTTCTTTTAGCTAGCTAAACGAACGGTGTGCCGTCTAAACATTATTACTATTATTAATTAATTAATTGATTAAATAATTAGTAATAATTATCCTAACCTGACTTTAAATATTCGACAGACTTGCATGGTCATGTTTTGTTCAACGTTACACCGACTGTGAACATGAGTTTGAAATCTGTTGACGATTAGCATGTTAGCAACTGCACGCTAACGTATTTCAAGGCATTGCTAAAAAGAAAATAGAACGTTTCAAAGAAATATTTTATATAAAAGTAGTGTTGGGCGTCGTTGACATTTAAGAATGCAGTTCTCCTTAACAAAGACCGAGGGAGGGGGACATTTTAGCTTCAACCTGAAACCACGTTAACAACTACAGGGGGCGCCAGCTAAAACAAATAATTATTTAACTAAAAACGTGACTATAAATTATTGCCCTTCTCCAACAACAAAACTTTATTATCTAAACGTGTTTTCCAAGTGTTTTTAAACACAGTTAGCATTTATTTTTTATTTAATTCACCTAATATCTGTGAATGTGTAAGACTTACTTGTTTTTGGATGAAAAATATGTTTGGCTTTTTTTTGTCCATGTTTAAAAAGTCTAGCTCTCAATTGTGGTTATAAATGTAACAGGCACCGAGAAGTTCGTCTTTTAGACCAAGGGTTTTTAATTACAATTGTAGGCCCTCCCCCAGGGGGAGGAAAAAAAGAACAACAGCGCCACCCCTTGACCCACCCAACATACTTTCCCTTCATACTTATAGTCATAAACACGGACAGACATTTTATAATTATAGTATTATTATTTCAGTTTTAAAATCCAAAAATGTCACCTTTAAATATAATGACAGACAAACACTAGTCCATGAAAACACACTCCTTCATATGTTCATGGAAACAAACACTAGTCCATGAAAACACACTCTTTAAATAATCCTTCATATGTTCATCGATTAACATGAACTAGAAGTGTTTCTCCTTTCCCTTTGGTGCCCCCTAGTGGGCACTATGAAAACCACTGTTTTAGAGCGTTTGTCAGGTAAAAAGTGTAAAAGGGTTTTTGTTGTTGTATCAAAAACATTTGACAGGATCTTTTTTTATTTTTTCTATAATTATCACTTTGTCCAGTCAGAGATTCTTTAAAATTCCACATTAACATTCTGACTACCAACATGGTAATAATTCTATTCAATCTGGATATTAGAGCAAATCCTCTTCAAGTGTAGAATGTGATGAGTATTTATTTAGTACTGGTTGAATGTTTACAGAGCAGTGTTGTAGAACTGGATTAAGAGTCTTGTAGTGAGAAAGTGTTTTTTTTTAAAGGATGGAAATCTGCCATAAAACTCTTGTTTTTCCGTCTCTGTGACAAACTAATGTGAGCTGAACATTTCTGTGCCATATTCTGGTCACTTTGGGTTTAGTCCAGACACAGACGCCATGTCTCCAGGACTTTTTCCTGTTCCTTCACTTGCTGCGTTGGCCTTTGATGTACTGTAGCCGAGCGTCACAGTTGCTACCCATAATGCCCCAGTGCTTGATTTGTTAAATCGGTGCTTCCCAGTGATTTCTGATGAAAACTGTTCTTCACTCCAACAGTATTTTCTATCAATACTTTTAAGTATTTATTTCAGTAATCAGACTTCTACAACCATCTCTCTTGGTTGAGCAGGTGACAGGGTTTAGTGCCTTGCTTAAGGGTTAAAGTTAGGGAGAATTAAATAGTGTTGACATGTTTTTCTTTTTTTTTTCTGGCAGCAGCTTCTTATCGTCTCAGCTTCTCTATAGCTCTGAGTCTAGAACCTTCCTGAAGCGTTTGGATACCGCCTGTCATCTACTCACTGATGAGTGACTGTTCTTTGACCTTTGACCTGATGTGAGGTGACGACCTCTAGTTTAGTTAGCTCTCAGCCTCAGCCACTGAGGTCCAGTCTCTGAAGCTGCAGGTCTGGTTCAACTACAACACATGGAATTAAAAATCTCTACCAGAAATTTACCAGATGTTAATTTGACTTTTTTTTTTAAAATTTGCTGTAATTACCCTTAAGCTCCAACTTCAGTGGCTTTAAATCAGCGGTAGTTAACGCCAAACGTTGTGAGCAGGACAATCTAAAAGGTGGAGCTCTGAGAGAGTCTCAGGTCCGACACTGGTTTTCTTCTCTGCTTGGTTCTGTTCTTCAGTTGATGCCAACGTCTCTGTCTGAACCGATACCTGTCTGAACCGATACCTGTCTGAACCGATACCTGTCTGTCAGCATTAATGAATAAAGACATGTTCAACAAAACAGGAAGAATCTGGAAGTTAGTGTTGCTCTTTGAATCACGTCATCTGCATTAGACTGCCCCCTGTAGGCGCAGAGTATGTGCTTTCTCTAGGAATGGAACCCAGGACTATCTGACAGCTAAGCCATGGTACCAGTAAAATGACAGCTGCCACGACTCCTGCCCCCAGTGGCCCTGAGAAGGATGACACCGTAGAGGACAGAATGATGTTAACCACTCGACATTCACTGTTGGTGAGGATGACACCGTAGAGGACAGAATGATGCTAACCAGTCGACATTCACTGTTGGTGAGTGATTATTTTTAAATATCGATAATATCTAGTTGTGGGCTGGAAGTGGGAGTAACGGACCAATAGTCAGTCAGCATCATTTCACACCAGGACTAATTAACAGCAGACAAACACAATTATATTTTCATATTTCATTTATTCAGAATAAGTCGTGAAAATAAATACAAAACATTTTTCAAACAAATCTGACAAAAGCTGCAGTTTGAAGTTTAGCATTGTAACAAATTTTGACAATTGACCCATGAGTAAAGCTGTGGTAACAGTTCAGGAACTGCCCGGGTTGTGGCATTAACACATAAATACAGAACGTGGATCAGGACGATGGCACACGATGGTCTGTGGGTGAAACGTCTCACTCTCAGTCACACGATCCTGGAGTGAGAAGAGTCGGTGTAATGATTCCAGTTTTAAAAACAGCAGAGAGGTTTGAATCGAACCTTTGACTCTGATGACATCATCTTTGTGTTTCAGTCGTGGACGAGGTTCTGGAGACGACGCTGGAACTTTGACACCATCAGAACAGGTGACCTCACTAACATGTCTACCAGAGAGTGACGGTGGAGTGACGACTCAGGGAGGGGCTCAGTCGGACTGGGTCTGGGGTGTGTTCAGTCATAACTATCAAACAACTACTTTGGTGTGTGTGTGTGTGTGTGTTCAGTCATCTTTATGTAAAGCTGCACCAACTCAGGGGAAAGATCAAGTTTTAGTAAAATAGTACATTCTTAGCTCTACAGCTCTTTGAAGTGGCTGGACATTAGTCTGGACAGGTGTGTGAAGGCAGGTGTGTGTGTGTGTGTGAGAGAGAGAGACAGAGAGACAGAGAGAGAGGGGCGTTGTTTAGTCGTCCACTCCTATGTTACGGAACAGGTAGGACATGGACTCCCCGTTGTGGATGCGGCGAATGGCTTCTGACAGGATCATACTGATGTCCACCGTTTTGATTTTTGGACACTGAAGTTTCTGCAGCTCGTGGGGAATCGTGTTGGTCACGACCACCTGCAGGAAGAAGACAAGACGCAAACAGTTTCAACCGTCTGATCTTCAGAGCAGAGTTCATCTGAAGGTCAGGTGTCGGAGTTCAAACTGACCTCATCGATGGCAGACTCCTCGATCAGTCGGGGGGCGTCCGAGGACAGGATGCCATGTGTCGCCATCACGTAGATCTTGTAGGCCCCTCTCTCCTTCAGCGTCTCAGCTGCTGCAACAAAACTGTCCACGTCGTCGATGATGTCATCCTGGAGGAGGAACGCAGACGTCTAAAGTTTGGCCCCCGAAAAAGTTTTTCTTTTTTTTTCTTTTTAATTCAACATAGAAGTTTCCATCAGCTCTCACCACGATGATGGCGATGCGTCCTCCTACATCACCGACCACAGTGATGGGGGGCTTCTCTTTGGGGATCAACACTGGGACGACATTCAAACAACTGATGTTAATTTAAAATAAAACCTGTTCTAATGTTATGGTTTTCTTTTTGTTCAGCTTGTAGCTGGAATCGGCGTGTGTTCAGTACATGGTATCTCCATGCTGGGGTGTATGGCTCCTGTCGTCTTGGCGGTGGGCGGCGAGTGTCGTCCGTCCACCTGGTCTGACTCGGCGTCCTGAGCTTCACCGTGGATCACCGCGATGCCCAGACGCAGGCGTTCTGCAAACGACTGAGCTCTGCACAGGACGACATGGATACGCCACGGTTAACGACAACCAAACACAGGAAGTGACATCAGCAGGTAAAGAGGGAGGGGCAGAGGGCAGCGTAACCCCGGCAGCAGATGTCGTATTATTTGATGATGTCACTCTGAACTTTGACCTTGTAACAAAACAAGAACTTAAGCTTTATAGTTAACCAGGTTAAGGCCTCGGGTGTAATGAGTTACAGCTTTTGAAGGTCTGAGCGGACGCCGGTCGTACCTTTTGGCAGACGCCGGAGATTTAGCCACGATCACAGCGTTTCTGTAGTCGGGGATCTGAAGGTTTGAAGACGAAAAACAAGAAATCCTGTTTAAAATCTTAAATCAAACCCAAATTAAAACAAACTATTAGATACAGACGTGCGTGAAAGTTTTTTTTTTTTAATTTTCTTATTCAAAAACTCACACACACACACACACAGTGGCCATTACACTGGTTGATGCGCGTGCACGTGTATGTCCTGTTACCTCCTCCTGTATGTACTGCAGCAGGAACGGCGAGGCTCTCAGGTTGTCCACGGGGATGTTGAAGAATCCTTGAATCTCTTTCTGATGGAGGTCCATGGTGATCAGGTGTGTGAGGCCTGCGCACACACACACACACGCACACACACACTCCTTCTGTCAGCACCAGTTCTCACACACATTCATGTCCACACCTTTGAGAACCCGTCCTCGTCTCTGTGCAGATGTGGCGCCGACTGCTGTCGTACCCACCGGCTTTACACATCATGGAGGCCATGAGTTTGGAGACGATGGAGCCTCTCTTCCTCATCTTGCACTGCTTGCTGTACGGGAAGTAGGGGAGGACGCCCGTGATGCTCCTGGCACACGAGGTCTTGCAGGCGTAGACCATGATCAGCATCTCCATGATGGTGGTGTTGACGTCCCTGATGAGAAGAGCAGACAGAGGTTGACGTCCCTGATGAGAAGAGCAGACGGAGGGAGGGGGGGTTTAAAACGAGGTCTGAAGCTGAACTGACTGTAGAAACTCTAATCTTTTGTCTTTATTTTCTTCTCACTTGGACACAGTCTGGATCACAAAGACATCTTTGCCTCGCACCGACTCCTGGATCTGCACCCGTGTCTCTATGGAAACGGACAGAGTGTGAGTGAGACAGCAGCAGGTGAACGTACAGCCATAGACACGCAGTATATACAGAGGTACGTACTTACACACTTCAGACATGGGCTCACCTCTGTTAGCTTCCTGGTACACCTGCACTTTACCAAGCTCCACCCCTAAACGCCTGAGACAGAGAGAGACAGACAGACAGAGAGAGAGAGACTGTTAGAGAAAACCTGCTTCTCTGGCCTTAAAATGAAAACAAACACCGATGTCATACAGTCCAGTCCTGTTCTAATTCAAATACAAAAACAAATCCCTGGAGCAAAAAATCTAGTTCAAGTGTAACCTGTACAATAGAAACAAAAAAAAGAACCAAATGTACAGTCAACTCTGGTCAAAGGTCAATCGGGAGCTTTTGTTTCAGAATCACAGACTTCAGTGACCTTGTACTGACTGAGACCTGGTGCTGGGAATTTCAGTGTGTGCAGATCTGGAATGTTGTTGTTGTCCATGAGAACTGATGAGACGTTCACACCAGTGAAGAGAAGCTGGTTAATCTTTATGAAATGTCACAATTCAATATTTGATGAACAATTAACACTTTGAGCTGCAAGAACCGTCACAATCTGTTTGTCAAAGTTCGACATGAACAAAAACATTTGGATCTGTGTGACGTATCAGACTGGACCTGCTGTAAACTGTAGCTGCGGTTACATTCAGACAACAAACCACAGACAGAGAGTAAACAAGAGCCGGTTTGTTGATGAAAACTAATCCCTTTTTCAAGTCGAGGCAGCAGCCTTCCTGGAGCAGAACTAACCGCAGAACTAACCAACCAACTCACTAACCAACTAACCAACCAACTCACTAACCAACTAACCAACCAACTAACTAACTAACTCTCTCTGTCTTTCATGTTGTTGAGAGTCTGCTCTCTGCACTCACTCTGCGATCCTCTTGCTCAGCTCGCGGCTGGTGGGGTGAGAGTTGGCCGTGAAGATGACCAGACCTCCCTTCGTGTGGTTCATGTCTCTGGGGTCTCGGCCGCTGCTGTCCCCACACTCAGGCAGTGGATCCCTGGGCACCCAGGCTGCGCTGAGACCTTCCTGCAGTGGACAGGAAGAAGTGTGTCACTTCCTCTCTACAGATCTACCGTGCCCACCTCCCGGTCCAACCAACAGAGAAACAGGAGGTAGAGCAAAAAAAAAAAAATCCAAACCACATACGAAGCATCACCTTGGATTTAATTGTTGTCCTTTGATTAGTTTACATCAAAGGATCAAGAGGCTCAATTATAGATTTAGAAATTAGCACAAAAACTCTAATTAACTTAACTTTAACAAAACACAAACGTGCAGCAATATTTATGTCCACATTTGTCCAAATCTGTGACAATTTCTAGTGTTTAATACTTTAATTAATACTATTTTTAAAGACCTTTGTTTATGTCTATTTTATCAGACAGTCTATACTTTCTTGGTGTAAACTTTACTACACGTTTTTATTGCGTTTTTTTCTTCGTGTCACTCTTGTCCTTTTTGTTGCTGTGTCTAATCTAATCTAATCTAATCTGAGCTACAGTAGCTGTCCACAGTCAACATAATTAGGTTATTACTACGAATACATTTAGAAAGATAACAAAAAAAAACGAATTGATCATTTAAGGTTGGGTTCAAAGTCCAGCCCGCGGGCCAATCTTTACCCTCAGGTAACTCTCTGTGGCCCCAAACTTTGATACATTAAATACACGCGGTGAAGTCTCTGCGTTGACGGATTCATTTTCGTTTGATTCCGGTTCAACTTGAGAAAGTTTATACACCGCTGATGACACTGACATTTATGAGTCTTAAAAAAAAAAAACAGACCCAACAAACACTGAGCAACAATCACGTCACATGCAGCTTGTACGACCGGACTGACTCGATACGAGGCATAAAATCATTATTTAAAACAGAAAACTCGCAGTTTTTAAGGTCATTTCCCTGGAACGCGTCCAAAAATTTCACGTATATTTTTATTCCTTCAGGCAGAACTCGTTGTCAACTAACAGTAGTCACGACATTAGCCGTGTGCTGTTGCTAAGCTAACGGGACAACGGGATTTCACACTAAGCAGCGTCATTTATTAAATCTCTCGTGGAGAAACACACCATCAGCAGCGCGTTGGTCCAGACAGAATATTAACTGTTGAAGGATGAAGACGTGCGTTTTAACTGAATATAACAGAACTTTTTTCTATCCATGAAAGATGTTCCGCTTTTCGGGATGTCATATCACGAGAAGGCGTTAGCTGCTGCTGACGTACGAGTACTAACGCGATAGCTGGAGGAAATAACAGTTCCGTGATACAGATCGAGGATGCATCAATTGATTTTTTTTTTTTTTCTTTAATCGTACATCAGGAAGCAGCACATGTTAGAGCTCACACCGTGATATTCATTAAATATACTACAGAATATAACGACGTTCTCACCAGTTTGCGCGTTAGATCCGGTTACAACCTGCAACCAACACTATTTGATTGTATAATTTCCCTGCTCCTTCCAACCTGTTCTTTTCACTCCCCTGACTGACTGCGAGGAGCCAGCGTGTGATTGGCGTTCAGCTCGGCCAATTGCAGCCCTAGGAATGATGAAGTAGGGAGTACCGAGATGCGTTCAATAAACCTCCATAAATTGGATTTTTTTTTTAGAGAAGCGGTTCCATCCATTGTTGTGGAGATAAGATTATTATTAAATAAACACATTTTCGTTCGATACAAGTTTAAACTCGAGATTTAAAATGATCACGTGATTTAAACCCAGTATACCCAGTGGTAATAACGGGGTATTACATTATATTATATTATATTATATTATATTATATTTCCACAGCGCTGTGATCTTTGCCTAAGGTTCCAAATGTGATGCGTTTAGGTGATTTTGTTCAATGACAAAAGAAACGCTACACTGTGATTTAGCCTTTCTGGACAAAGGAATCTGTTCTTCTATAAATATTCAATATTCTTCAATATCTTGTTAATCGAAATGTATAAATTTGAAAAAATCCGGCTGTTTGTGGATGTTATAAACAAATATAAAATTATGACATGTTATAAATATGTCATAATTTAACGACTTCACGCTTGAATCGTATTTGTTTTTGTTTTGTTGTTTCTTGTTGACCTTGTTTCAGTGCAGTGGTCCCGTTCAGGGCTCAACACGTGAAGGAAACATCCCGTCTTTTGAATGGTCACGTGATGACCTTGATGATCGTCAGAAATCATTTAACAATGTGAACGACCAGAGTTGCGGGAGATGCGATGTTTTAAACCAACCACTTGGGGGTACTGTTTCATCGTGCAGGATGAAAACATGATTTCGAAGGCATTGAGTTAATAACAGAGAGTACTTCTTTTTTAATTATTTTAATTTACAACAAGGTGTTAAAATCTATTCTAGAAGGAATTAAATCAAACTGATGTAGTGTCAACTCTACACCACTAGTGTTGCTGTCGTTTGAGCAGTTACTCTGTTTGACTTTTGTCACTGTCTTGTTTGTAGGACAGAGCAGTGGATGGAAGGGAGTGTCTGTCGTACTTTTACTGCCCCCCATTATCAGCCCCACCACCACCACCACCACCACCACCACCCTCCACAGACACAGCCAGAGAGAGAACAGAACCCTCTTTGATTCCAGTAGATTTGGGTAAGTAGCTCATGAATCTAGGGTTTCCTCCCTGAGACAAACACACGCTATATCCTTTGTAAAAAAAAAAAAAATCTAACACACTATAACAGATGGATGATGTGGAGAGCTTTAAACAAAAGTATATTTTGAGCAGATCACAATCTAGCTGAGCTGCTTGAACAGAGACACGTTTATAAATACTGCGTCCATGTATCAGCTCCGCTACTTTTTAGTTAGTGTTCTTACATAACTCACTGTGGATGTGTGGAGGAGGCAGAGTGCAGCTTCCAAGCACCGACGCTGCCCACAGACACACACGGACTGTTGTGTTTCGTCAGATAGTGGAGAGGACTTTTAATTTCCTATGTACAGTACATGAAACGATTCCTGTAGGTTTATATATATAAATCTTTCAATCATAAAATATAACATAAATAAAACATCTGATTTCTAAGAGTTAATTAAAACTGGGGTTGTTATAAAAATCCAAATTTCATTGGAGGGAGGGGGGACAGGGAGCTCCATGCTCCTGGTCCGCCCCCAAGTTGCAGCACGAGCCACTTAGCGCTAAGAGCAGCTGTAAGCGCGCGGGCGCGCGTCTACGTGTACGTGTGCGTGCCTTCTCCTGTCACGCGGAGACAGCCAATGCCAAACACACAGCATCGGCTGAGGGGGAGCTGCAGCAGCAGCAGCAGCGATATTAATTTGGACTGTTTTTTTTTTTTACCACGCACGGACGCCGCGCGCTCCAGTTTTAGCCGCGCCAACATTTACGCGCAGCAGAGTCCGTGTGTAAACGCGCCTCTCGTCAACGTCGTTGCGTTTTTTATCGTCTCCGGTTCTGTTTGCCTGTGTCTGTGACTGAGCTACGCACACCGGAGTCCACTGTTGTTTTAATGCGCAGCTGCACAGGCAGAGGGAGCAGTCGGCTGTCCGTGTCACCGATGAACAGCTCCAGAGAACAGGAACCTTCATCTCCGCCGTCACAATAACCCGCACGTCACGTTCTCTCATCTGGAGCGGCCCAGCAGCACCCGGTCGGAGCTTCATCCTCTCGGGGATACCCGAGTGCATCCCTCCATCCTCCCGTCATCTGCCGTGTTGCGTCCACCCCCCAGCCCCCCACACTTCGTGAAGGATCTATAGGATCTAGTCAGGGAGCAGGGGTTAGGAGGAGGAGGAGGAGGAGGAGAAGGAGAAGGAGGTGGTGGCTGTGGCTGTTCGTGGCCGCGGCAGTCGCACCCTCTGCGTGGTGAGGCAGGGCTGAAGCGCCGCTGTGTCGGAGGATGCTGCAGGAGTAGAGCGGCTCAGAGCGGACGATGGGGAAGGACCAGGAACTGCTGCAGGCGGTGAAGACCGAGGACCTGCTCACGGTGCAGAAGCTGCTGCAGAGGCCTCGGCCAGGGAAAGCAAGTAAGATCCATTACACACGGACTGTATTACACCGATGATGTGCTGTGTTCATGACCACCCCCTACTGGCTGGGTGAGACCAGGAATTATGGAGGATATTTCTCACATACCACTGCTGACTGACGCTGCTGTAAGGCCCGCGGTGTGTGTGTGTGTGTGTGTGTGTGTTAATTTACACGAAGAGTGTGTTGATACTGTGAGGAGATTTCTCCAGCGGCCCCTGGATTCATTTTCAGTTCTGGTTTCACACCAGTGTCAGTTGTAGTTTCCTGACAGTGTTGGTCTGCATTGACAAAGGTTAAAAAATCAGTTTGTTTTTTCTGTATCAGACGCTAACATTCAGTTTACCTCGAACTTTGGTTCAAGTCAGCATGATTGTGTGATTATGTGATTG